ATGTTGTCAGAAGGAACACTTCTCACTTCCTTCCATCAGATCACTAACATCTGTGCAGGGCCGTCCTGGCAACTCTGCAGATGAAGGCTCACCCACGGGGCTCCCTCTCCAGGGCTCAAACGGCTGCTTTGAAATCTTCCTGCAGATCCTTATCTAGGGCCAATCCCGTTTCTCCACCCTGTCTGGACTAGAGATCGGCTGGGCCTGAGGCTGTGAGGAAACAGCAGGTTCCTCCTTTTCTCACTTCTTTACCACCTTTGTTAAAGCTTTGAGTTCCAGGGACAGCAGCCTTGTCACCCCACTCCGTTTTGGAACCTGGGCCACATGGACACCCCGAGTGGGTCCCGCCCCACGAAGAACGCTGTTTGCTCTGTTGATGTGAGTGTCTCTATACACAAGTGCCCTCAGATGCTCAGAGTAGCGAGTGTGGTTATTGTGGCGTGGACTGTGTTGTCACGGGGCAGAATTTGGGCTTGGAGACCTACTTACATACACTTGCACTGATTTACATACCAGCCCCTGACAAGTCACTCCTGGGGAGCACATGGTTATTGTGGTGTGGACTGTGTTTTCATGAGGCAGAATTTGGGCCTGGAGACCTACTTACATGCACTTGGCACTGATTTACATACCAGCCCCTGACAAGTCACTCCAAATACTTGTCTACGAATTCAGCTATATGGTGCAGCCAGCCACAGATCTATTACGGGCTTCACACACATGAAGTACTGAGTAGATCTGTCAAAACGTAATCGTGATAATAATAAATTAGGGCTTCCCTGGTGGCGCTGTGGTTAAGAATCCGCCTCAGGGGACACAGGTTTGAGCCCTGGTCCGGGAAGATCCCACGTGCCGCGGAGCAACTAAACCCGTGCGCCACAGCTACTGAGCCTGCGCTCTAGAGCCAGCGAACCACAACTACCGAGCCCGAGTGCCACAACTACTGAAGCCCACGTGCCTAGAGCCCGTGCTCTGCAACAAGAGAAGCCACCGCAATGAGAAGCCCGCAGACCGCAATGAAGACCCAACACAGCCAAAAATAAATAAATAACTTTAAATAAAATAATAAATCAGCTCAGGCAGCTCACAAATACAGCTGCCAGTAGCTGCTCCTTAGCCCTGGTTCCTTGTGCTGGAGCGACGTCTCCGTCAACATTCTCTAGGGAAACTGCCTTTCTAACCCACCGCAGAAAAACAAAGAAGGAAAAGAAACTACCATTTCTTTACTGCCTTTCATCTGGTAGGCACTGTCCTAGTGCTGCGGTTATTTCCCATTTCTTTCTATTACTTAATGTGAAATCTGCATAGTTTGTGTAGTTGGTTGGAGAGGAGAACGCACAGGAAAGATCACGGGGATTGTGAAGCCTGCCTGTAGGGCTTGCAGCGCACAGTCTGCACCACTGCAGTGCAGCTCTTCGCTGACCTGAAACCACAGATACTACTGAACCCTATATATACGTTATGATTTTTTTCCTATACCTACACACCTATGACAAAGTTTAATGTATAAGTTAGGCATGGTAAGAGATTAACAGCAATAACCAATAATAAAATAGAACATTTATAACAGTATACTGTAAAAATGTTATGTGGATGTGGTCTCTCTCTCAATATATCTTATCGTACTGTACTCACCCTTCTTCTTATGTCTGGGTGACGAGATGAAGTGAGGTGAATGGCGTAGGCATTGTGACATAGCATTAGGCTACTACTGACCTTCTGACCATATGTCAGAAGGAGGATCGTCTGCTTCCAGTGATCCTGGATTCTCAGCCATGATGATGTGGGTGGTTGGGTGCCAGGAGCAGACGATGTCCATGGCAGGGGAACCCAGGCGGAACAGAGCCGGACAGGAGAGATTTCATCACATTACCCAGAATGGTGCCCAGTTTAAAACATGAATTTTTTATTCCTGGAATTTTTCACTTAATATTTTTGGACCGTGGTTGGCCATGGGTAACTGAAACTGCTGAAAGCGAAACCACAGCTAAGGGCGGGGGACTACTGTACCATTTTCCAATAAAAAGAGTCAGGGTTTCTTGGAGAAAAGGCTAATTCTGGCACTGAGGTGGAAGATACAAGATGAGCCTGGAGCATCTTAATAATGCCAGAAACTAAGAAACTGCTTTTTTTAAAAAAGTATGGAAATGTCAAAAAAAAAGCTGACCTGGAAGAGCTCCCAATGGCTCAAACTGGAACAATGTGAGCCAGCATTGGATTATTACCCAGAGGGCCCAGTCGTCACCGGATACGCCAACAATAATGACCATAGGCGAGATTTGGTCCTGAATGCAAACATTCCGAAGGAAACTTAAAGGAGACACAGAATATTGGCCTCAGATATTTCCTCCAAATATTTATTAGTAAATTTTTATCTTATTTTCTTTAAAAGACCTATGAGTGTTCAAAGCAAAAATTATAACATTGTATCGTGGGGTTTATAACGTGCAGATGTAAGATGTATGTCAACAGTAGCACAAAGGATACAGAGAGGTTTTTATAACGTCCACGTCTGAAAATAGTACACTCTTAGTTCTAAGTGGATTGTAGTATGTGAAAGATGCATATTGTAACCCCTGGAACGACCACTAAAACAATGCAAAGAGGTGTCGCTTAAATGCTAGTAAAGGAATTAAATGGAATACAAAAGTGTTTGTACAAGCATGCTCATAGACCCTTGGGCCAGAGTAGCCCAAACCAGCAAGTAACCCAAATATCCATGCATAGAAAAATGTATCAACAAACAGTGATATGTTTACACAGGAGAATACAACTCAGAAGTTAAAGGAGCAAACTACAGGGGCACACACTGCGGATGAATCTATAAACACACTGCTGAGTGAGACAAGCTGGCCGTGACACAGTATTGTAGGATGACAGGCAAAATGAACCCGTGGTGATTGTAGGATGACAGGCAAAATGAACCCGTGGTGAAAAAAAATCACAAGAGCGTTTGCTTGTGCGGGGAGAAAAAAATTGCCTGGGAAGGAACTTGAGGGAATTTTCTGGAGGTGATGAAAATATTCTGTTCTTGAAAGGGGTGACGTATACATGGGTGCATTTATTTCTCACAGTTAATGTCTGTGCCTTTCAACGTATGGACCTCTTACCTCATGAAAAAGAAAAACAATTGAAAAAAAAGTGAAGGGTGGGTAGTAGCTTGAGGTATTGACGAAAGAGAAATAGCAGATAATTAGGAGTCACTGAAGCTGGGTGACAGGTCTCTTATAGCATTTTGCTATTCTGTAAATGCTTAAAATTTTCTGTAACAAACCGCTTTTATCAAAAACGGAAATTGGTCTACGGTGTTAGCCGGTGAGGTGTCGGTTTCTTCGTGGAGGAGGGAGGGAGAAGTGATGGCGGGGTGTGTCGGGGAGGCCGGAGCGAAGTTGATGTTGCTTTTGGCCACACAAGCGTGTCCACTCTGTAATGACCCATCGAGGTGCCCGTGAATGCTTCCTGCGTACATCTCTGTATGCATGTTACATGCCAATAAAATTTAAATGCTGCATATTTACACAAAAATCCTAACGCAGTATCTCAGAGTAACAGCAGGGTTTTGTCTTGTTTTGAAGCGGGACACGTTCACTGATGGTCTCATCAGATGGATTTTAACATTCCAAAGTATTCACGTCCTAACCCTCAGGTGACCCCTTAGAGTCTTCCAGTTTTTCCCTCCATTTGGTAGGTGGCGTGATTTTTATTTTTTATGATGCGATACTTTTTCCAGAGCAGCTCATCAGGACCACGACTCTTAGCACAGCACCCCGTGCACAGTGGGCACTCAGAACCTGCAGAACTGGGTTGAATCAGGAATAAAACTAGTGGAAGGGATGCCGAGGGTGGTAAGTAGGCTGTGCAGGTGAGGCTGGAAGACCACGACCCAGCAGCGAACGCTTTTACTTGATGAACCATTTGGAACAAGTTCACCCAAAGATGTGGGTTTAAAGCGATGGTCTTCAGCCTTGACCAGGCCCCGTAATCACCTGGAGAGCCATAAAAAATACCGATGCCCGGGCCTCACTCTAGGGATTCTGATTTAATTGGTCTGTTGCACTCGGGTTTAAGGAATTTTAAAAGCCCCCCAGGTGATGGTCCTGTGCAGCCAGGGGTGAGAACCACTGACTCAGGGCTGTCGAGGCATTAGCTGCAAGTGATTTCCGCGTGTGCTCCGGGGTCTCCGGAAACAGCTTTGCCCTGTTAAAAGCAAAGGACTACTTCTTACTCAGCAGCAGGAGGAAATGTCTTCTTAGCAGATCTATTTCTGTGTCACTTGCTGTCAGAGTCAGAGGTGGTTTTAGACACGGTAGTTTGATTTAGTCTGTGTTGAAAATCATAAATAGCCTACAAGTACCTAAAAAAGATGAGAAGAATTTGCTAACACGTGGAGTGCATTATGTATTTTTCAAATTTCTCCTGTGATTAGTAATGAAAACGGTATTGCTGGGGCCTGATTTCCTCAACTCAGCCCTTGGCCATTTCCCCAAGTTATTCCAAGTCTTTCCAAGACACTTCACCACTCTCTCAAGGGGATTATTCCCAAAGGTGAGGAGTACTAGACACTGAAATCTCTGCACAGTCTGTTCCTACTGCAGAAGTGTCCACCTCCAGAACCTCGAATGACCAGGAAGGCTGCATCAGCAGTGGGTCCAGTGGCAGTGGGTGGGCTCTGAAGACAGATGGACTTGATTCCCAGTCTCAGCCCAGCCACTCAGTAGCTGTGAGGCTTTGGACAAGTTACTGGGCTTGGAACAGCTATAGAAACCTCGTTTTCGAGAAAAGGCATCCTTACACTGAGTGCACAAACGGCAGCGATCCTTCATCCCTCCCTGTATCCAAGCCCTTTGAAATGTGATTTTCCAGCTGCTCCCACTGAGAGGTGGAATCTGTCCCTCCAAACCTTGCATCAGGGCTGGCCAGTAGAATGCAGTGGGCATGCCAGTGGGCCAGCTTGGGACCTTGGCCTAAAAGGTCTTAGATGCTTCTGCTTTTGCTTTCAGAACCCTGCCGTCTCCATGACAACAAGCCCATGTTAGCCTGCTGGAGGATGAGATACTTCAGGGAGTAGAACCAAGGTGCCCAGTCAACAGCCAGCTCCTCACCAGAAGCAGAGCCCCCTAATCAACCTGCAGCTGCCCACACATGCATGAAGGAGCCCAGCTGAGACCAGAAGAATTGTCTCGCTGAGCCCAGCCTGAGCTAGGTGAGTATTGGGGTGGCTTGTTATGCAGCAGTAGCTAACTAATACATACGCCCACTGCAGACAGGGTGCCAGGATTCAATGATATGTTCATCACAAGTGACTTGGCAAACAGTAGGCACCCAATAGGCGCTGGTTTCCCTTTCCCCTTGTTTAAAGTTGGATCTCTTGAGTTATACAGAAATTCTTGTCATCATGTATGCTTGTGATTGGTTCTTAAATGCACTCAGTGCCCCACCTGACAGGAGGAAAGAGGCAACCAGAGTCTGACCACTAGGGCCCAAGGCCAGATTGCAAAATAAGAAGTTTGTCTTTAATCTGTTCCCTCCAGATCTAAACTCTGGAGGTCAAGGTTGTGGACAGATTTGAAGACATTGGGCTCCACCCTCTGGGGGCCCCATCTTCCTTCCTTTGCTGTCTGGAAAGGGGGAACGGGCCCACACCAAGCAGCAGCTGGGGCCCACACCAAGCAGCAGCTGGGACGCAGCGGTTGAGCTTCGGAAGCTTTCTGCTTGCACCCCTCTGCTCCCTCCCTGGACTTGACACCGTCTCTCCCCACCCTGGGTCTGAGGAGAGATGCTGGTAGTGCTTTCAGCTCTAGAAACCAGAAAAGCTGACACAATGGTATGAACAAGCAAGGGCAGATGAGGCCACAGAGGTTGGCAGGGGCCAGGTTAACTAAACTTTTATTCAACTGCAACGAGAAGCCAGTGACAGGGTTTAACTGGGGGCGGGGTTTGCATATATCATGTTGTTGACATTTTCCAGAGATCAGTCTGGATGCTGAGTGGAGGATGGACTGTAGGAGGACGGGATGGCTGGGAGGCTGTGACTGGCAGTGGACTAGAAAGAGAGGAAGGTTACTGGCAGTGGTTGTAGGGTGGAGACTGTGGGGAGGGGCTGCAGAGCCATTTCAGTGAAGCATTGTGGAGAAAAGCTGGAATGAAACGGGTTCAGTAGAGAATGTGAGGAGAAGCAGCCCTAATGGAGCAGAGAAACAGCGGCAACGCAGAGCGACCTGTGGTCAAAGGAGGTCTGCTTGTTTAATGCACAACACGAAGGCATGTTTGTCCGCTGACAGAAACCACCCAGTGGGGAGGGAGGGGGGGAAGAATGTGATTGGCAAGGGACATTACACACGCAGAACTCTGGGGAGGGAGGCAGAAAGGACTCAGCCCCAAACTGACTTGAAGTTGCAGCTTTCATCTTTGAAATAAATAGGATTTTGGCCTTCTATTTCATAACACAGAACACCCTGCAGATCATATCCTCGTCACGCTTCCCTGTAAGAACACCTCTGAGTTCTCAACACCCAAAATGCACAGCAGCTACTTATCTCGCCATACATTTTCCAGCTGAAGTTCATACGTATAGAATTTACACCAAGCCTTCAAAACGTAATACAATATTTTCGGCTTCCCTGGTGGCGCAGTGGTTGAGAGTCCGCCTGCCGATGCAGGGGACACGGGTTCGTGCCCCGGTCCGGGAAGATCCCACATGCCGCGGAGCAGCTGGTCCCGTGAGCCATGGCCGCTGAGCCTGCGCGTCTGGAGCCTGTGCTCCGCAACGGGAGAGGCCACAACAGTGAGAGGCCCGCGTACCGAAAAAAAAAAAAAAAAAAAAAAAGCAGCAATGCTCTAAGCATTCTACATTCTAATACAATATTTATAAGGTATATCTAGGTGCCATATTGTGATTTAGGAAATCGGTAGTTTTTCAATAAACTTGCTAGGCCTTATCATTTTTCTTATTTAAAATAATGGAAACAGGTTTTCCTTAGAGTATTCACAGAGATAATATGACATCTAAGGCACAGGATACTGACATTAATGGCAGAGGACTTCCCAGTCTGTCTTAGTTTTAGATTTGTAAATACCTTCCAAATTACTTAAGTTCTATTCTTCCAAATCTTATAGTAAAACTGATGCTCCATAAGGTTGTACTACAAATATTCTGCTGTTTTGTGTCCTCTCTGCATAGAATTGGGGCTGTGCATACTCCAGTTTGAGAAGCATGTAGTAGTACGGCACTTGGAGTTGATCAGAAAACTTAGATGGAAAAACGCATTATCACTATAACCTCCAATAGCAAGAAATTATTAAAATCGGTTCCAAAAGGATATTTTTAAAAGCATCTTGAAAGTGGTTCTGAAGGAGTCTTAAGGAGCCCTGTTAAAGGTATTATGTGTTACCTTTAGACACAAACTTCCTTAACAATTTGGGAAGGAGCAACCTGGGGCCTAGAGGAAGGATTCTGGCAAGAGAACTAATTTCAGGTAGGGTACCTTGCAGGTAACCATCAGCGAGCTTCTGCGTAGGCCCCCCAGAAGCCTAGGCCCGCTCCCAGCACTAGCTCCGCCCCTACCCGGGACCGCCTCAACACGTGCGGCGTGCCTGCACTGCGCATGCCCGCGGGGAAGGGGCGGGGCGAGCCGAACCCTGGCAGGACCTGCGTGGGGAAGACCATGGCCATGCTGTGTCGGCTGGGAGAGGTGCCCCGGCACTTGCTGGTCTGCGAAAAGTCCAACTTCGGCCACGAGAAGTCGCGCCACCGGCACCTCGTGGAGACGCACTATCACAACTACAGGGTGAGTCCACATCCCGGGCCCGCGGACCGCACACCATCCCGCCGGCGGTGGAGGCTTGGGGAAAGCCGCGCTCTGCTCCCCCGCCCTCGGCGCGCGGAGGGGGCGGGGCCCTCGCCGGGCATGCTGGGAACTGTAGTCTCTAGCCGCTCCAGGCCTGTGGTTTGCCCCTCCTCAGGACTACAAGTCCCAAGATGCACCGGCGCGGGGCGGTGTTGCGCCTTCGAAGGGAGAAGCAGGTTGGCGTGCGCCTGACAGTTCGCCGCGCCTCTGGCCACTTACTCCTGCCCCGCCCCGCTGCGGGTGGGGTGCGTCCCGGGGAGGGGCGAGGCCGGGACTAGGCCCTGGCGGGTGTGCCCCGCAGCCCGGGACGGACCCGCCCCTTCCCCATCCCGGCTTCCTTCCCCCGCCGCGCGCCGGAGGGTCTTTGCAGAGCCTCGTGCGGAGTCCGGGAAGCTGCTTGCCCTTCTGAACCGCTTATGGGCGCTAGCTTGATACCTGAGAAATCTCCCCCTTTGCCTGCTGCCTTCTGCGTTGTCCAGCCAGAGTGCACCATTTCGGCAGCTTTTGCAGAAATTCGCCGAGGCTTCCCTGCTCGCATGCGCAACTTCAGAGCGATTTTCGCTGTTGCTCCGTGAAAATGTCACCCTCTCGGGCGCCTTTTTCGCGAATGTGGTGGTTGAAGCATCGGTGAGGTTAATTATCAGTTTATCCAGGATCTGCTGAGAGTAGAAGAGAACATTCCTAATTCCCAGGTAGTGTATGCTGGGCGGGCTTCACCAACCCATTTAAGTGGAGAGGGCTTCAGGATAAACCTTACAGTGAAAATGCTTTAAGCCTTTTCCACTTTAAATAGACCAGCCTAATCTCAACTCAGGCCTGACTGGCTAGTTTCTCAGACACAACTGGTGACCCTGCACCTTCAGGGACAAACTGGTGTCCCAGCTTCGGGAGAGTGATTTTTCAAGGTGTGGAGCACCTGGGCGACGTTTGAAACCTGTCAGGTTGATTATCTCTGCTTTGGATGGAAAGCTCATCACAGACAGCAGTCGGGGTACCTTATCTCTCCTGTCTCATCTGTAGAATTTTTCTATCTGTAAAGTGTAAACATCCAGCAGACTTCTGCTTCCATGTAACCTCTTAATAATTGGTGTCCCTAAATTCCTTATGCCCTAAGGAACAGTTCCTTTGATTCCAGCCTGGTACTAGGATACACAGATCTAGGGATATTCAATTGTACTATATTTTCCTAAAAATTAATTAATGTAGTGATAGGAACGGGACATAAAATATATTGCTCATTTGTAAAAGATGAAACACAAGCAAGGGCTTCCCTGGTGGCACAGTGGTTAAGAATCCACCTGCCAGTGCAGGGGACACAGGTTCAAGCCCTGGTCCAGGAAGATCCCACGTGCTGCGGAGCAGCTAAGCCCGTGCGCCACAGCTACTGAGCCTGCGCTCTAGAGCCCGCGAGCCACAACTACTGAGCCCGTGTGCTACAACTACTGAAGCCTGCACGTCTAGAGCCCGTGCTCTGCAACAAGAGAAGTCACCGCATGAGAAGCCACACACGGCAACAAAGAGTAGCCCCCGCTCACCGCAACTAGAGAAAGCACGCGTGCAGCAAGGAAGACCCAACGCAGCCAAAAATAAATAAAATTAATTTTAAAAAATGATTAAAAAAAAAACCACAAGCAAGAGCTTCCCATTAAAAGTGTTTTGCTCAGGCTTCCCTGGTGGCACAGTGGTTGAGAGTGCGCCTGCTGATGCAGGGGACGCGGGTTCGTGCCCCGGTCCGGGAAGATCCCACATGCCGCGGAGCGGCTGGGCCTGAGAGCCATGGCCGCTGAGCCTGCGCGTCCGGAGCCTGTGCTCCCGCAGCGGGAGAGGCCACAACAGTGAGAGGACCGCGTACCGGGGGGGGGGGGCGGAAATTGTTTTGCTCATTCACCTTTCCTGTACTGTAAGCTCGAATACAGAAATGGAAAACTTGAGTTGTCAAATTTCTCTTTTCCTGAGATTAGTAAGTTTTTTTTGTTTTGTTATTTTTATTTTTTAAATTTTTATTGGAGCATAGTTGCTTTACAATATCGTGTTAGTTTCTACTGTACAGCAAAGTGAGTCAGCTATACGTATACATATAGCCCCTCTTTTTTTGGATTTCCTTCCCATTTAGGTCACCACAGAGCAGAGCAGAGTTCCCTGTGCTATGCAGTAGGTTCTCATTAGTCATCTATTTTATACATAGTATCAATAGTGTATATATGTGATCCCCATCTCCCACTCTGAGATTGGTAAGTTAATTTCAGAGTTTTTTTGAAAGCTGTGGAGGAATGGTTAGCAGCCTTCATGATGTATCATCCCTAAAAACCTGGGTGTTGATCTACATGAAAATAAGACTTGTTTAAACTTATAATGGAGTATAATCTGCAAAAATACTGAATCACTATGCTGTACACATGAAACTAATGTAATATTGTAAGTCAGCAATGCTTCAATGAATAAGACTTGTTTCTATTGCACATTCCAACAGGTTTCCTTTCTGATTCCTGAATGTGGGATACTGTCAAAAGAGCTGAAGGACCTGGTCATGGACTCTGGACCCTATTACTTTGTGAAGGATTTACCGCTTCATGAGTTAATCGCACAGGAATTCATCAATACTTTTGTCAAGAAAGGTAAGGAAAGCCGTGTAGTGTCTATGAACGCGGTGAGGTGAGGAAGTCCAGGGAGATCGCATAGCAATACCAGGGTCCTTCTCTTGTTCTGAATAGGACTGCTGGAGATCGCCTGTGTGGTCAGGTGTGTGCATCCCTCCCTCCGTCCCGCAGTAGCTCAGCCGACCCTGTGTGCCCTCATTAGGTGGTGGTTTCTGATTGCGCTGGTCCACAGGTGTTGTGTGGGAGTGTGTCGTATGAGGGTTAATGGAAAGGAAAATCTTCGACCGCTGTGTTCAGATGCGCTGCCATTGGGTGTGTGGCTGCAGAGACAGACCGCTGTTCTCCCCGCAGCCCCCATGACAGCTGTCTGGAGAGGGTGGTCTCCTGGTGCAGCCACAGCTGCTGGCCCTGGAGTCAGGTGCTGATTGGGGTTCAGCATCTTCCGCTTAGACGTTGTGGCTCTCAGCCTCGCCTGCGCACCTCATTCCCATCCGTGTCAGCTGGCTGGATTGGCTTGTCCCAGTTATATCCTAGGAGCCACTTGTTTGAAACTATTTCAGTGTGTCTTTAGGGATCCACCCTCACTATATACATCACTGCACAAGGGCCACTGACATCTTGTCTTTGGTCACACGGACATGATTCCTTTCTTCGGTTCTGAAGCTTGATGCTGGGGGATTCCCTGGCGGTCCAGTGGTTAGGATTCCTCGCTTTCACTGCTGAGGACCCGGGTTCGATCCCTGCTCGGGCAGCTAGGATCCCACAAGCTGTGTGGTGGGGTAAAAAAAAAAAAAAAAAGAAGAAGTCTGAGGCTATTTTGGTAACAGTGTGGACCCTGGCCACGGCAGGGACTTTTACGTAGCTGACCCGACTTAACCCTGGCAACAACACTATGAAATAGGCCTGCAACGCCCGTTTTACAGGTGAGAAAAATGAGGCTCAGAGAGATTGAGTCGCTTTCTTGACTTCACACAAGTTTGTGGCACATGTTGAGTCTTCATCTGGAGCTCTGCCTTTCAGGTGTGTACGCTCACCCGCTTTTCCACTTTGTGCCCCTCTGCCAGCATCCCCGGAGGTGTGTGCTCCATCCTGAGTGCATTTTCTGCTCGTTGGTAGCCAGCTTGCACAGATAGGCCCTAGGCAGGGGCGTGAACTAGCTGTGCTTGGCCTTGCGTGTCCTCCAGCTTGGCTGAGTGAGCTGGAGCAGTGACCCGGAAGGTTATCCTGTGAAAATAATCCACTAACTTCTTGCAGGTGTGATTTTTTTCTTGTCTTAATTTCTCCTCTGGGTTTTCTCTTACAGGTGCGTGCTATGCACTAACGTACAACACAAATATTGACGAGGATAATACTGTGGCCCTGCTACCAAACGGTAACCACACTCATTTTTTCTTCTTTCTTAATTATGGAGGAAACACAAACGGTAAAAAAGAAAGAGTCAAGTCATTTGGATGTGTGTAAAGTGAAAGTCCCCCCTTTCATCCCCGTCCCTCCAAACTCACTGCCATTCTCAGCAGGCATTCTTTTTTTTTTAAAGAATCAATTTTATTTATTCATTTATTTTTGGCTGCATTGGGTCTTCATTGCTGCGCGCGGGCTTTCTCTAGTTGTGGCGAGGGGGGGCTACTCTTCGTTGCGGTGCGCGGGCTTCTCATTGCGGTGGCTTCTCTTGTTGTGGAGCATGGGCTCTAGGCGCACGGGCTCAGTAGTTGTGGCTCGCGGGCTCAGTAGTTGTGGCTCGCGGGCTCTAGAGCGCAGGCTCAGTAGTTGTGGCTCGCGGGCTCAGTAGTTGTGGCTCGCGGGCTCCAGAGCGCAGGCTCAGTAGGTGTGGCGCATGGGCTTTGTTGCTCTGCAGCACATGGGGTCTTCCTGGACCAGGGCTCGAACCCGTGTCCCCTGCATTGGCAGGCGGATTCTTAACCCCTGCGCCACCGGGGAAGCCCCTCAGCAGGCACTCTTGTTAGCAGGTAGGTGTTCATTCTTCTAGACATTTTCTATGAATTTATAAACACATACAGGTTCTTTTTTTAAAATACATATATATATTATGTCATAGTCCATTGTCTCAGTTTGCTTTTTTCCCAGGCTGTATATCCTAGACATCTTTCCCTATTAGTACATACAGTTTTGGGGGGGTTTGTGTTGTTTTTTTATTTTATTTATTTTTGGCTGTGTTGGGTCCTGGTTGCTGCACGCGGGCTTTCTCTAGTTGCGGCGAGCGGGGGCTACTCTTTGTTGCGGTGCGCGGGCCTCTCATTGCAGTGGCTTCTCTTGTTGCGGAGCATGGACTCTAGGTGCGCGGGCTTCAGTAGTTGTGGCTTGCGGGCTCTAGAGCGCAGGCTCAGTAGTTGTGGTGCACGCAGGCCCAGTTGCTCCGCAGCATGTGGGATCTTCTTGAACCAGGGCTCAAGCTGTGTCCCCTGCTTTGGCAAGCGGATTCTTAACCGCTGCACCACCAGGGAAGCCTAGTACATACAGTTTTAATTTACTCTTTTTAATGTCTTGAAAATATTCCAAAGAAGAAGTACACCATAATTTGTTTACTTTTTCTTTAATAAAAACTTCGATAGTTTCTAGTTTCACTCTAATAAATGATGTCTTTGTACATATAATGTATTATAAATAAGATACATGTATGAATAAATAAGACCCTTGTGTGCACTGGTATTTAACTGCCCAATTTGTCTTGCTTTCTCTTAGCGAACACATGATATTTTTAACATCTCTTATGGGAATTATTTGATTTATAGGGAAATTAATTTTATCACTGGATAAAGACACTTATGAAGAAACTGGACTTCAAGGTCGTCCGTCTCAGTATTCTGGCAGGAAGACCATGAAGTTTAGTAAGTATCACGCTCACTCCGTCAGTTTCTAACAAGGTAGTAGTCTTCCTGTAACAATTTGAATTTAAATGTTTGAATTGCCTCTGTTCTCTTTGTTCAGAAGAAGTGTGGCTTTTTCTTGTCTTTAAAACTCCTTACTCCGGGGACTCTCGGGTGGGCATCAGATAGGATGAGATAGATACTGCTGTGCATCTGTTTGTCTTCAGCTGTCGGCTGCATCTTGAAAAGATCACAGACTTGGACATGTTCCATTAGATACATATGTTTTGGGTCACAAATTCAAAGTGATGAAGCCACTTGTTCTTTTTTTTTTTAAATCGAAGTATAGTTGATTTATAGTGTGTTAATTACTGCTGTACAGCAAAATGATTCAGTTATACATATATGTACATTCTTTTCCATATTCTTTTCCATTATGGTTTATCACAGGGTATTGAATATAGTTCTTTGTGCAGTAGGACCTACAGTAGGACCTTGTTGTTTAACCAGCCTATATATACCAGTTTGCATCTGTTCCAACTTGCTCTTAGTAAAGAATTTCCTTTAATTTTCCCAAGTTTTATGATGACTAGTAGAAATTCACCCATGAGTGAAGAGATGTAGTTCTGTTGATGGTCTGGCTTAAACATCAGTAGTTATGGCTGCCACCTCCACAGCTAGGTTAGAGTTGATCTCTGCCCTTGGTCTTTGACTACGAAAAATGTGAATTTAAAACACCTGTTGTGGGACTTCCCTGGTGGCCCAGTGGTTAAGAATCTGCCTGCCAGTGCAGGGGACACAGGCTTGAGCCCTGGTCCGGGAAGATCCCACATGCCGCAGAGCAACTAAGCCCATGCGCCATGACTACTGAGCCTGCACTCTGGAGCCCATGAGCCACAACTACTGAGCCCACGTGCCTAGAGCCCATGCTCTGCAACAAGAGAAGCCACCGCAGTGAGAAGCCCGTGCACCACAACGAAGAGTAGCCCCCGCTCACTGCAACTAGAGAAAGCCCACATGCAGCAACAAAGACCCAACGCAGCCAAAAATAAATAAAAATAAATAAATTTTAAAAATAAATAAAAAATAAAACACCTGTTGTAATTATCTGTCAATGCCAGAAATGTCCATCAGAGGCAGAGTTTTGGTTTGGGAACCCAAAGGGAGGGCAAGAAATACAAAATAACTTTTTTTATCCATAAAACTTCTAAAACTGATGTTTTTAATCTAGCATGTTTTGCACAGTGCAAGCTGTGTGTATATGAATGAACTGTTTATTCCTCTCCATTTTTTTAAGTTGTTTCCATTGATTTGATGGATTTATCCTCTAAACTGGACTCTAAGAAGTATAAAAGAATATCTTGGGCTTTCAAAGAAAAGAAACCATTGAAATTTGATTTTCTTTTGGCGTGGCATCAAACAGGTATGAAAAATAAAATGTGTAACGATGGAGTGGTTTTGAAATCTAATGGTTAATTAAAGGGGAGTAGTGAGGAGAGAATGGTGATTCACCCCAGTGGTCAGGGATGTTGTGCACGTAGATGGATACAGGTGTCCCCCGCTTTTTGAAAGTTCACTTTATGCTCCTTTACTTTTTACAAAAGCAAAAAGTGAAAATAGTGTTCAGCGTGTATTTTGCAGTGAGCTGCTATAGAGGCAGTGTGCACCCCAGCAGCGAGAGTGGCACCCCCAGCTCCCTCCCCCAGAACTGCACTCAGCATCTTAGCCTCTAGCCGGCAGAGCTTTGAACTGTGTCTTTGAGCGTTTATTTCATGCATCTGTTAGCAAGATGTGTCTAAGGTAATTGCTTCTTCGCTTTATGCCATTTCGACTTAATGAGAGGTTTTGTAGGAACACTACTTTGGGATGGGGGGAAACCTGTAAACGTTGTTAAGGAAACTGCTTTGACCCCTCTGGCATCCCTGAGAGCCGTAGTCCGGGGTCATCTCGGCACGCAGCCGTCTGTCTCCACCTCCTTGGGTTGTGTGTCGATCAGGAGCTCCTGAGGGTGGGGTCTCGGGCAACTAACCTTTGTCCATTTCTCCCTTTCCCTCCTCCAGCTTCCCTCCAACAGCCTTGGCTGGAGTGTTTTAAAATAACACCAGTTATACTGCTAGACACAAACTGCTTATTCGTTATTGCAGGGTAGTAATCAGGCATATCATTAAATGTCAGATTAAATTTGTTGTACCTTTTAATTGATTAGAATAATACATTTAGTTCAGAGTTTCATGTTCACCAAACATTTTAATCGGCTCACAACTACCATGTACCTCGCTCCTTTTAGAAGTGTATCTTTGGCCCAAAACAAGATTAAATGAATCAAATCATCACAATTACAGTGGTGTGGTTCTCTCTTGGAGAAGAGGGAAGCCCCTAGGTCCATTTTGGAAATAGGTCCATCCGCTCCTCCTGGGAAGTTCGTGGTCACTGGGTGCTAAAGGGTTGCCTGGGTGAGGCCTAGGTCTGTAACACTTGGGTGCTTCTTCTGTGTGTGGTGCAGACACAGAGGGCAGAGGGGCTGACATCTCAGTTGTAGGAAGTCTTTACTGAGGGCCTCCTATGCAGTGGGTTCTGGAGACCACTGTGTTCCTAAGACTCCGAAGTATTTTAAGGGCTTGTCAAGACCTGTGAAGCACCTGAGATTTCACCCGCTTAGCAAGCTCAGAATTTAGCCAGCACGTTCTCGTGCACTCTGGCAGGAGACATGAGACCCCTGGGTCAGAGGCAGAAAACCTAATGATTCCCAGCAGTAGCAGTGGGCAGAGCACCAGCGTTTGCTCCAGTTCACCAAGTCCTGGTTCCTGCTGGGTGATGCATGGTGGGCAGGTGATGCTGGTGCAAGCAGGGGGTTGCATTACAGGAGGGGAGCCTGGAGCCTGAGGAATTCAGATCTTTTATATTGGGCGGTGAGCCTGCTGACCTTTGCCCTGGAGGGAGGGAGGAGGTGGAGGGAGACATTATTTCTAATACACTGGGCAGTAAGCAGGCCTGCCCTCTGCTCCAAGAGGGCCACTATTTCCGTCTTCCAGGGAAAATCCTTCAGGATACACTGGATCTTACTGGGGTTTAAAGACAAGCTGGACTGAGATTCTGTCTTCAGCTCCTCTTCTGTTTCCTTCTTCGAGAGTGTGCAGATATGCTGCTTTCTCTGTAGAGTTCACTAATTTTATCTAAACATAAGTAATGCTTTGATTAAGTCAGAAGTTTCTTAGCAGAGCAGATGTGGAGACTAGTATGGCTTGAATCTGAAAGCCTTATGAGTTTCCAGGAAAAGTGTGACAGAAGATGAACGTTGACAGAACTTTGGCACAAGGAGGCGAAGGCAACTTAAATGATTTTGAGTAAAGCTTTGTACAACCTCTGGCCTTACTTCATCCTGCCTGCTTCCTGAAACCCTCCAGTGGGAATGGGGTGGACTCAGGGATTCACTGAACTTGTTTACACTATTCAAGTGGCCTTATTTGGTGTGTTTGAAGGTGCGGAAGGATCAACGGTGATGTCATACTTTTCCAATTACCGGATTCAGGAGCGTCAGCCAAAAATAGCGCTGAGCACGGTGACAGATCTGCCGTGCCCCGTGCTGCGGAGCGGCGAGCTCAGGGGCGAGCCGGAGGCGGCCTGCAGCGCCCAGGAGCTCTTCGAGTGGCTGGGCGCCGTCTTCAGTAACGCCGAGCTGTGCGTATGAGGGTTCCCGGGTCCTGGAGGGCTTGGGCTGGCTTCTCGTTTTCAGCAGGGGTTTAGTACTTTGAAAGTTGATCGTGTAGTGGATATAGATGCGTTTTCTTTCCCTTTTTTGGTTACAGAAATAATGAGCCTGATAATTTCATATCAACCTACTGCTGTCCCCAGCCAAGCACAGTGGTGGCGAGAGCTTACCTGTGTACAATCACTGGTTTCATCCTTCCAGAGAAGATACGTCTTCTGTTGGAACAGCTGTGGTGAGAAAAAAGAACAGCCTTTTTTGCCATTTGTGCCTTGCTTGTCTCCGCTAATGATTCAGGTTCCAGGGTCCTCTCACGACGTGTCCCCCTTTTCCCTTGCTTGGGCTCACGTGCAGTAACGTTACCATCTCACATGATGTAATCATCCCTGGTGATATTGCCAGGTCCTTGTCCTTTGAAAAGAGCAGAGCTTTACTGCACTTCTTGGGAACAAACTGCTCATTGTTCTTGTTCTGCTCCCCCAGACCATTTCGGTGCAGTTGAAGTTACAGTATCACTTAAGAAAACGGCAGTGCTCTATGGAACACATTATGATCTGTCGTAAATGCTGGATTTCTGCAAAATGCTTCACTTTGAAATGGGTGGGAAAAGGAGCTGACCACCTCTGAATCCAAATCATATCCAAAATCTGCCCTGGCTCTAACATCCGTGAATCACTGGGCACCGGTAACATGCCACGGGTTGTATAGAGTAGTACTGGATTTTCATTGTGGGAGGTGTTCTGTAAATAAAATGTTAGGAAGCTCAAATCCCGTATTGAAAATGAGCACCACGCCTTCTGAGTCTTCGCTTGAAAAATGTCTAAGACGTAAGTGTTGAGGGTTTTCCTTTTTATATCCAACATCCTCTTTCACATTTATTAGCTTCGTACTTTTATTTTCCTCAGTAAGAAGGTCGAAGTTTTAAAAATTGGATGGATTTTAAAAAAGAAATTCGATAAATTATTCTGCAGTGTTTCAGTTTACAGAGCCTCCGAAAGCAGCACTGTTCAGGCGAGGGAAACGATTCTTACACACTTGGTGGGGAATTTTTTGTTCTTTAAATCTTATATGCTCTTCCACGATAAGGGTAGGAACCGCTGAAGTTTGTTGTGTGCGCTGCATGTTGGTGAGCCTTTACTGAATTCACAGTATAGCACCAGGAATTTAATTTCTGTCTCCTAATTTTTATAAATGAAAGCTAAGGTCAAAGCTTCATGGGAGCATCAGAAATACCGCTTATCCTGAATAAGTGAAAAAAAATATATGGGACCGTTCCTAACTCTTCCTGTTTGTTAAGAAGTGTCTGTCTTTTTCAGTCGCTACTTTGATGAACCAAAGTTGGCCCCGTGGGTGACGTTGTCGGTTCAAGGCTTTGCAGACAGCCCTGTTTCCTGGAGAGAAAACGAACACGGTTTTCGAAAAGGAGGAGAACATTTATACAACTTTGTGGTTTTTAGTAATCGGGACTACTGGCTTCAGTTGGCTGTTGGGGCAAATGATGACTGTCCACCATGACAAGCACAGAGTTTAAAGTCGTGTTTGTTTACGTTTATGCTCGTTTTCCGTATTTCTCGGCAGTATAAGGACTGTGTTCACTCAGACTTGGGTGATGAGGACATTTCTCAGATCAGCATCTGTTAGCATCTGCCCTGGACTCGGGCCCATCCTGTGACAGGCTTGCCGTCAGGTGGGAGCTCATAGTTGATTTCTCCCTGTCACTACGAGCCCAGGGCGTGGGCTACTGCGTCGTAACTTGGGCCACGATGGCCAGGGACTGGGGGTTATGGGACCACTGGGTAAGATGTGTGCTGTGATTGTGAGTTTCTCACATCATAATAACAAGAAATCCTTAACATCATACTTACCAGAGCCAGTTCCTGCATTAGTGCTGTTCATCTATTACCTCATTTAATTCTCACATCAGTCCTGTGAGGGAACAGAGTGTACATAAGCTACTGAAGTCACCTGCTTGTGGATTCAAGACTTGATCTCAGATCAGCTGGTTCCTGAGTGTGTGCTGAGTGTGTGCTCACTCTCCTGCTTCTGGGTCAGGAGGGATATTTGGATACTGTATATTCATAAAGAACAAGTTGAATTTTGCAGTAACCTATAAGGGAAAAGAATCTGAAAAACATATATATGTGTGTGTGTGTGTGTGTGTGTGTGTGTGTGTGTGTGTGTGTGTGTGTATATGTAAAACCGAATCACTGGGGCTTCCCCGGTGGCACAAGTGGTTGAGAATCCACCTGCCTATGCAGAGGACACGGGTTCGATCCCTGGTCTGGGAAGATCCCACATGCCACGGAGCAACTAAGCCCGTGTGCCACAACTACTGAGCCTGTGCTCTAGAGCCCGTGAGCCACAACTACTGAGCTCGTGTGCCGCAACTACTGAAGCCCACGCGCCTAGAGCCCGTGCTCCACAATGAGAGAAGCCACTGCAATGAGAGGCCCGCGCACTGCAACAAAGAGTAGCCCCCGCTCACCGCAACTAGAGAAAGCCTGCGCACAGCAACAAAGACCCAACACAGCCAAAAATAAATAAATAAATAAATTTAAAAAAAAACCCGAATCACTGTGCTGTACACCTGAAACTGACATGACATCATAAATCAACTATACTTAAAAAAAAAGTGACTTACCTGGCGGTATAGTGGTTAGAACTCGTGCTTCCACCGCAGGGGGGCGTGGGTTCGATCCCTGGTTGGGGAACTAAGATCCCACATGCCACACAGCGTGGCCAAAAAATAAAAGTAAAAAACAAAGTTGAAAGAATTTTTTTTCTCCCAGCAATATGGCTGATAAGGACCAACTGAAAATGACTTAAATTTCTGGAATACCTATCAAGAACCATTTTTTAAAATGTTTCAATGAGCTGCAGAATAAGAATTCTCAAAAGCTAAATAATTTATTTGGTCACATGGAATTAAATTAGAAATCAGTAACAGAAAGATCCTTGAAAATCCCAAGTATTTGGAAACAAAATAACTCACAAGTCAAAGAAATCTAAAGAGAAATTAGAAAGTAATTTGAAATGACTTTAAAAAAAACTAGAATTTGTGGGTTCTTGCTAAAGCAGTACTTAGAGGGAAACTTGCAGCATTAAATGCTGCAAGGAAAGGAAGAAAGGAAAACAGGTCTCAAATCAGTGACCTCAGTTTCCACTTTAAGAAACAGTAAAAGAAGAGCAAATTAAATCCAAAGTCAGCAGAAGAAAAGGAATAATAAAGATCAAAGTGGTAACCAATGAAATAAAAGAGAAAAATTAATCCAAAAGCTTGTTCTTTGGGAGAATCAATAAAATTGATAAATCTCCAGCCAGATTGGTGAGGGGGAAAAAAAGAGACCAATTACCAATATAAGGAATGGGAGAGGTAACGTGACTGAAGATCCCACAGATGTTACAATAATAGGAACACCTTTATACCAATAAACTCAAGAGTGTAGGTGAAATTGACAAATTCCTTGAAAGACACAAATTACCAGAGCTCACTCAAGAAGAAACAGGTAAAACCTTCCTATAACCCCAATGGGATGGCTTCAGTCGTGAGTTTTACCGAACATTTGAAGAAATAATACCAATTCTACACAAATACTGCCACTCATTCTATGGGGTCAGCATTACCCTGGTAGCAAAATTACGGAGGCATCCTGGCTGGGCAAACACATTGCAAGGAAAGAAAACACTACAAAACAAACATTACTCATGAACATAGGTGCAAAAACTAAGCAAAAGTTTTAGTAAATTGAAACCTACGATATAGTAAAAAGGTAATATGGCCATGGGATTTATCCTGGGATTGCAGGATTGATTTAACATTCACATAATCATTTCAATCAATACTAGAAACGTATTTAACAAAATCCACCATCTAGTCCTGTTAAAAACTCTGGCAAACTGGGAATAAAGGGGACTTCTCCAATCTGATTAAAAGACATCTGCAAAAGCCCTACAGCTAACATCAGACTTAATTGTGAAGGGCTGAATACTTTTCCCCTAACATCAGGAAGAAATCAGGGATATCTCTGTTCATCGTTGTACTGGAGATTCTAGACTGCAGTCAGGCAAGAAACAGAACATCCAGATTGGAAAGAAAAAAATAAGATTGTCCTTTTTTCACAGATGACATGATCATCTATGTAGAAAACTCAGCGGAATCTATAAACAAGATATTAGAACTAATAAGTGAGTTTATCAAGGTTGCAGGATACAAAGCAGTGTACAAAAATCAATTATATTTCTATATGAACAATTAGAAAGTGAAATTAAAAATCATTTACAATAGCATAAAAATACTAGGTAGTTAGGAATAAATGACAAAAAATGTGAAAGACATACACTGAAAACTGTTAAATATTGCTATGATCAATTAAAGAAGACCTAAATAACTTGGGGTATATACTTTGTTCATGGGTCAGAAGACTCAGTATTGTTAAGATGTCATTTCAGGACTTCCCTGGTGGTGCAGGGGTTAAGAATCTGCCTGCCAATGCAGGGGACACGGGTTCGAGCCCTGGTCCAGGAAGATCCCACATGCCGCAGAGCAGCTAAGCCCATGCACCACAACTGCTGAGCCTGCACTCTAGAGCCTGTGTGCCGCAACTACTGAGCCTGTGCCCTAGAACCCGCGAGCCACAACTACTGAGCCTGTGTTCTAGAGCTCACGAGCCACAACTAATGAGCCCTTGTGCCACAACTACTGAAGCCCACGCACCTAGAGCCCGTGCTCTGCAACAAAAGAAGCCAGCGCGATGAGAAGCCCGCACACCACAAAGAAGAGTAGCCCTTGCTCGCCACAACTAGAGAAAGCCTGTGCGCAGCAACGAAGATCCAACACAGCCAAAAATAAAAGTAAAATAAAATAAATAAATTTATAAAAAAAGAAAAAGATGTCATTCCAAAATACAGATTCAATGTAGATTCAATATAGTCCCAGCAGGCTACTTTCTGTGTGTGTACATAAGTCGACAAGCTGATTCTAAAATTTTTGTAGAACTGCAGAGGACCTAGAGTAGCCTCCAGGGCTGTCTTGGAACTTGACAACACAGCACCAAAAGCCTCCAGCCGCCCCATTCTTTGTCCCTCAGCATGATGTAAACCCAGCCCAAGTAGGAAGTCAGGAGGTGTTTTTCAGTGTGTCCCCCTTGTGATCTGTAAGGGTGCCTGCCAACTGCGAAGAAGTTTCGTAATAAGGGACTTAATTGAGGAGGTGCCAGTTGACGTTGGAAATAAGATTTATTGCTGTTAATCCTTTGGAGTAATCCGGGGTTGACTAGTTTTTTTTCAAACTATATATTCCGGTTAATACCATGTTCAACTATTTTCCATATAAAATTAAAAAATAAAAATCTGGTATACAAGAGAAGACTGTAGAAGACTGAGTTGAGGAATTTATGTGAATAGGAAAACAGACTTGTAGATCTTTAGGGAACAAGTGTCAAGAGGTTTCTGGAAAAAAAGAAAGACCTACAAATTACCAAGGCAGTTTTCTTAAGTTTGAAGCAGGGGAAACGGTAACACAGCAACCGACCAAAAAAGCTATGCCAGAACCCTCCCTTTTAAGGAGCTAAGATTGTGCTCAAATTCTGTTTGTGTAATTTACTGGGACTCGGGGACCAGAAAGACCACTGCAAGCATATTCTTCAGAATCCAGATTAGGGGAGAAGTTCTATTCCTTGGGTGCAAAGTTACTGCTATATTCATCTTAATAAATCAAACTAAATGACTTGGCAGGAAGCCAAGTGTGGCCCACACATTTCTAAAGAAATGACCAGAGATCGAAGATGATTATTTTCATCTCTTATAATTGAAGAAATATTTGTCTTGTTTTCCTGTTGCCCAAGGTTAGAGTTCTTTTCCTCCTTCTGGTATGTTGCCTCGAAACCCATGTGCTATTTTCACCACAAAGCTCCCTGGATTCTCCAGAGACAGAACTAATAGGAGATATATATATATATATATATATACACACACACACACAGTATTTATATCAATCTTAAATATATGAATACATAGTCATATATAGTATTTATTATATAATATAAATATTTGCATATTTATTATATATAATGAAGATAATTATGTTGTATATTATATATAATATATTGTGTATATATATATTAATAGATATTGTAAATACAGCTCTTCCTTGACTTACGATACTGGTACATCCTGATAAACCCATTACAGTTGGAAATTATTTTAAGTCGAAGAGGCATTTAATACACCTGACCTGCCAAGCATCATAGCTTAGCCTAGCCTACCTTAAACATGCTCAGGACACTGACATTAGCCTACAGTCAGGCAAAATTATCTAACACAAAGCCTATTGTATAATACAGTGTTGAATATCTCATGTGATTTATTAAATTCTGTACTGAAAGTGAAACAGAGTGTCTGGGCAGAGAATGGTTGCCAGTGTATCAGTTGTTCATCCTGGTGGTGGCGTGGCACCTGGGGGCAGCCCAGCATCATGAGAGAACATCTTACTGTGTGCACATCGCTAGCCCTGGAAAAGATCAAGGTTTCTACTGAATGTGTATCACTTTCACACCATCGTAAAGTTGAAAAATGCTAAGTGGAACCCCGGGGGGACTATCTGCATTTATCATGATGAATTGGCTCATGCAATGGTGGAGGAGAAGAAGTCCTGCTACAGCTGCCCTCTGTGAGCCGTAGACCCAGGAGAACCGCTGGGGTCGTTCCGTCCAAGTCGGAAGCCCTGGGGACCAGGAGAGCCAATGGTGTGAGTCCCATCCAAGGGCAGAAGACACATGTCCTAGGTCAGCGGTCAGGCAGAGAGAGTAGAATTGTTCCTTTCTCGGCCTTTTTGTTCTGTTCAGGCCCTCAAGGAGCGGAGGAGGCCCACGCACACTGAGGAGGTTAATCTGCTTTGCTGAGTCTGCTGATTCAAATGCTAATCTCATCCAGAAACCCCTTCCCAGACACCCCCAGAAATCACGTTTGGCCATAATATCTGGATACCCCATGATGGCACGTCACACTCCATCGTGAGTTACTTTGGTCTGTTGTCATGTTTGTGGAGCCCCTGGTTTCCACTCAGTGGTTACTGGTGCTGAACAGGGAAGAACAAATCTGACTCCATATTGGGTCTGTTGGTTTTGCTACAAGTTAATCACCAAAGGGGTTGCTGCCTATAAGCTTAGATGATGCATCATGGCCCATCTCTGGGAACCCTGCCTCCCAGGTCATGAGCATTAAGCTAACATACCTTTGTTTAGCTCACAGGAAATATACTGACCGGGCCCACCTGTGAAGGACTGCAGGGAGGAAGATATGAACACCCCCCCCTCTGGAGGCTGATGGGAGCCAGGAAATGCTTGGCTTTGCTCCGTCCCCCTTTTAGTATAAAAGAAGCCTGTGTTCTAACTCAGGGAAGATGGGTCTTTGGGGCACACGGCCACCACCTTCTCAGTCTGCTGGCTTTCCAGATGAAGTCTCTCTCGCCTCAGCAGCTCGTCTCTCCGTATCTTGGACTCGGCGACAATGGGGGCTGTGAGAGCAGAACAGATTGATGACAGATTTCTCCTTTTGAGGAAGAGACACTTCAGGAGGACAACGGTCTCTGCCTGGACCAGCTCTCGGCTCAAGCTGACATGGTAACTATGACAGCTGATGTAGCTGGATGGGCACCCTGAAGATAGCGGGGACCTTCCGGGGAGGAAAGCCTGCAGGGGACCTCCTGGGCTTGGGGCTACTCTCCTTCACCCCCTCACCTGCTGGGCCCCAGCTGACCAGTTTGTGAAGCCACTGCCTGGCAGGACACCAGCTGTCTTTGAAAAGATCTTGCTACGAGCCATTTTCCTCCAGTGATGAAAGGTAAACTTTTCTCAGGAGAATGCACTGCTTTGTAGAAATAACCGTTTTCGTAAATATAGCCCACGCCCCATCTGTGAACAGCGGCTGGTGCATTACTGCAATGGATTGACTCTCCTTAGTTTAGGATGGGGAAGACTCGTGGGGAAAAGTGGTTGGACTTGGGGTGGGACTGGATTTCCTTCTTTCTCTTTAACTATCTGTGTCAGCCGGCTGAGTGCAAGAAGCTGTCGAAATCCGTCACCATCACCTGAGCCCCGTTAGCAGGTACGGCCTCAGTGAGAAGGTATAAACGGTCAGAAATTCGGGGTCTGGAAATCGGAGCTATCAGTCTTAGCATCTGTGAGCTCTTTCTGAGAAAACAACAGGCACAGAGAAAGGTACTATTCCTGGAGACTTTCTTTGTTTCCCTCAACTAATGAGGAAAGTTGGAGCCCTTTCCTTTTACTGATGAAGCGCTCACATCTGGGTCTTATTTCAGATCACAATTGCCAGCCTCCAGGTATCACGTTCTGTAAATCTTAGTGAGCCTCTCGGCTTTTAGGCCAAACTGCCTGACAGTCTTCCGGGTGAGGGACCCAGATAAGACTGGAGAGAATGTAGGGCAATCTTCCGGCTTCACAAGCAGCCAGAATTTGTCATGTTTCTTTTAGCCTCTAACGGGCCTCAGTGTCTTTGTTCCTGAGGGAAAGTTGTGGGCATATAATGCCTACTGAGCTTCCCCAACTTGTCTCTGTGTCTCAGCTGGTAAACTTTGCCCCTGTTTCATTTTGAATCCATTCTGAAGTTCTCAGAATAAAAGTACCAGCCGGTATATTTGATTTCATAATAATAGCCGACATTCACTAAACACTAATTGTGTGTTCAGGCAGGCTAAGCATTCTGTATGCGTTCCATCAGCAAATGCCCGCTAAAGGCTTTTTTAAAAATTGAAGTATAGTGGATTTACAATGTTGTGTCAGTTTCAGGTGTACAGCAGTGATTCAGTTATACATATATATATATTTTTCAGATTCTTTACCCTTGTCGGTTATTACAAAAAATTTAATATAGTTCCCTGTGCTGTACCGTAGGTCCTTGCTGGTTACCTATTTTATATACAGTAGTGTGTATATGTTAATCCCAAACTCCTAATTTATCCCTCCGCCCTTTCCCCTTTGGTAACCATAGTTTGTTTTCTATGTCTGGCCCACTAAAGACTCTTACAGCAGGTGTTACTCACATTCTGCTGATAAGGGTAGAGAAATCTTCCCTAGGCCGGGTAGCTAAGTAAGCAGTGAAATCAAAATTGCAAATTGCGTTTGTGTAGCTGGAGATTTTAAACAAACTCCCTTATTCATGTTTGGGATTTGGGAGGACACAAAGGAACTGCTTCAGTTATCCCTTGTGAGGTCGCAAATCTCCCCCAAACCTAGTGGCTTATAACAACAGTAATTTATTATTTCTCATGACACTGCCAGTTGACCAGGAGGTCTTGTCTCCCCTGATGGTGAGTTGGCTGGAAGGTCCAACATGGGCTCACTCCCGTGGCCGGCTGTCGGTGCTGGAGGCCAACTGGCGCTCTTAGCTGGACACCTCAGTTCTCTCCTACATGGACCTCTCATGTGGCTGCTTGGGTTTCCTCACAGCAAGGTGGCTGGGCTTTAAGAAGGAACGTTCCAAGAAGACAAGCCCCATTGTGAAAGTGCTTAGGAAAACTTCGCTTGCTAACGGCCCATGGGCCAAAGTTGGTCTCGTGGCCTAGCCCTGGGTCAACGTGGGAAGCTTTACAAGGACATGGATCCTGAGAGCTGGGGTTCACTGGGGTGGGGGTCATCAGTAACAGCTGGACTACAGGCATGACGGGATATTATTATTATTATTATTCTGCCTGGAAAGCATCCTTCTTTCCCCTTCAGGCTAATAGCAAAGCTCACCAATTAGCATTTCATGTTGCGTTTACAGCCCTTCGCATATAAGTTCTGAAATTTTGAGCAGTGATGTTTAGGCTGTTAAACTGACCAGTGGTTGGCTAATTCATTTATTAATTTAGTGAGAGTCTAGTGAGAGTTAACTTATTAACACACTTGATAGCTTGTGTAATAATCACAGAACCCTAGCAAGAGGTGTTATTGTCTCTGCTTTACAGGTGAGGAGGTGCAGTCACCTGGCCCAGGTCGCACACCTGGTTCTCAGCAGATCTGGTCAGAGTGTCTGCTGGGCCCCAGAGCCGCGCTCCTTGTTGTGTCCCCCCCCGCCCCCCCCGCCCCGTGCTGAACACACACTGGGGAGCTGAGGAATCAACAGCACAGGCCGCCTGAAGGCTGCGGGGAGGAGTAAAGATCTTTTAAAAGTGAATCGCAGTTAAGTTGAGGAGGAAGCTCATGGCAGCAAACGTCTGTAGCCTTTGGCTAATTTCTTGCTGATGTGTTAGACTCGTGGGCCTGGTCTTAACCCTTCTGCATCTCTGTTTTTAAAAACAACATATAAAAAGGGACTTCCCTGTCGGTCCAGTGGTTAAGACTCCGCGCTTCCACTGCAGGGGGCGAGGGTGCAGTCCCTGGTCGGGGAACTAAGATCCCACATGCCGTGTAGTGCGGCCAAAAAAATTTGAAAAAAGAACAACTACACATAAAATATACGCAGCATAGGGCTTCCCTGGTGGCGCAGTAGTTGAGAGTCCGCCTGCCGATGCAGGGGACACGGGTTCGTGCCCCGGTCCAGGAAGATCCCACATGCCGCGGAGCGGCTGGGCCCGTGAGCCATGGCCGCTGAGCCAGCGCGTCCGGAGCCTGTGCTCCGCAACGGGAGAGGCCACAACAGTGAGAGGCCCGCGTACAGCAAAAATATACATATATATATATATATATATACGCAGCATAAAATGTACCAGCTTAACCAGTGATAGGCATCCAGCTCAGGGCATTACGTACACGGGCACTGTTGTGTGACCACCACCACTGATCCGCGAACTCTTTCATTATCCCAGATGGAAACGCCTGGCCCTCCAAGACTTCTGAGCAGAAGAATTATTGGTGGCTTTTGAGACTTTATTTGGAAGGGAAGTGCTGGGTAAGTGCCCTTCATCTGGGTGTCCTGGGCTGGTCAGGAATGGGCACCTCAAAATCCCATCAGGTTGCCTCTGGAAGTCTTCCTAAAGTTCAGAGGTGCCCCGTGGGGTTCAAGGTCAGTGAAAAGGAAGCCACGGTCGGGGGTGTCAGGAGGTCGCTGGAGGGAGGTGGTCGTTATGGGCCGAATGGCGTCTCCCAAAATTCACATGTTGAAGTCCTAACTCACCAACTCCACTACCACCACCTGCACCTCAGAAGGTGAATGTGCTTGGAGATTAGGCCTTTAAAGAGGTGATTAAGGTAAAATGATGTCACGTGGGTGGGACCTAAAGCCAGTGTAACTGGCATCCTCATTAAAAAGGGAAATTAGGACTGACATACACAGAGGGAGGACCCTGTGAGGACACAGGAGACGACCGTCTACAAGCCCAGGAGAGAGGCCTCGGAGAAACCAGCCCTGTGACACCTTGATCTTGGACGTCTGGGCTCCAGAACTGTGAGCACGTAAATTCTGTGGATTGAGCCACGCCGTCTGGTGGTGCTTTGTTTTGGTCCACGCAGACTAACGTAGTGGGGAAGGACCCTGAGGCTTGGGGGCCGGCAAAGCCGTGGACCTCAGTCCTAAGAGGGGCCGAGGGGGAGGCACCTGGTGGTCACTTGGTGAGCAGTGGTTTCAGGGAAAGCGGTGGAGGTCATTCTTAAATGCTCCTACTGCGTGGTTCACTTGCTCTCGGTCAAAAGACCAGGATGTGATTCCAAAACCTGGATGCAGACCCGGCGGGCCATGGATTTCTGAGAGAGGCAAACTCTGAACTGTGGTCCCCCCGACAAGGACAGAAAGACGGAGCAGTGACTGTCAGCCCCGAGTCCACCAGCTGGGCTGCAGCCCCTCGGATTTTTAAAAAATAATTTTAAATTGTGGCAAAAAAACACAGCATAAAATCTACCTTCTTAACCATTTTCAAGTGTACAGTTCAGTTACGTTAGCTACGTTCACATTGCTGGGCAGCACATCTCCAGGAAGTCGTCATCTTGCAAAACGGAAACTCTGTACTCACTGAACAACAGCTGTCCTTCCCCTCCCACAGCCCCTCAGGTTTTAAAGGGTGAACCCGCTGAGCGTGGAATTCTGCCAGCTGGGAGAGGCTTGGCCTTGGGGCTGCTGAGTGTCCTGGACTTTTCTTCTGTACGTCGTGCGGGTCCACGTGTGATATCTAAGGACCGAATTCTGACCAGTGCCTGCAGTGAGGGAGATTAAAATCACAGTGGTTTACCTGCAGGCATCGCTCACTTGGTTCCCAGCGACCCCATGCGTAGAGACAGGAATGGGGTCCCGGTTCAGCAAGTCTGTGCATCGACTGAGCTGCTCTTTACCTGTCATCCCGAGGCCGCAGGCCCCAGGCCCTCGCCCTCACCGGGGCCGGAGGCACATCGCACTGCCTTCCTGACTCCCAGGAACCTGCCTCGGTGTCAGTGAGATAGAACCTGGCAGCGGCCGAGCGCGGGGCTTGGTCCTTAGCTCACGGTGCAGTCACGCACGCCCATGTGATGGGGTAAAAAAAAACAGAAGGGGGGGTCACTTCCCTGGCAATAAATGAAGCAGAGACCCAGTGGCCGCAGGTCTCCGCTTCCCACTCCCGAGGGAAGCACAATGGGCAGGAGGATGGGGGAGAAAGGAGCGTGTTGGGGATCAGAGCCCCTCGAAGGGTCGTCTGGCCAGGCCCGTCATGGGAGGGGTCTCCAGTCCTCAGCGGGGCAATAAGGGAGCAGCCGGGATGGTGGGAGCGAGGGGACCACTGGGCCCTTCTTGGACGCCATCCCAGAAGGTGAGAGTCCCACCTGCTCTTTCAGGGCTGGGCTTTGGCCATCGGGCTCCTGGGATTCGTGGGAGGGAAGTGGACGAATCCACACGTGCCCGGGGATGCACTTCCATCGACCACTTGTCCATGGTGTTGGCAGCAACTGGCCGGAACAGACACTCACGGTGCAGGCCCAGATGCCAGGACGGGTTGTGAGGAAAGCAGCTTCACGTTTCTCGACCCTCTGTAGGTAAAGCAGAGGGCGGGAGGGGCGCCACTTGAAACACCTGAAATATCTGAGGTAGGTTTATGGGTAAAAGTTTCTTTCACAAGATGCAGTTTTTCAAGAGGAAGCAGTTTCTATTCTCACCACGATGGAGACTTCCCAGCACTTGGGGAAGGTCGTGGTCACCTCCTTGCTGTCCTTTAGCCTAGGAAACTGACAAAGGGGCAGAAGGGGATTGATTTGTCGGCTGCCTCCTTCCCTAGAGACAGCAAGTTGCCACCTGGCCTGAACCCAAGGCCTGTGTGACCAACAGCTTAGACCCAAGCGAAGCCGGCAGGACAAGAGTTGTTCCTGCACGAGCTCGCTTTCAGCCGCGGGGTCGGGGGCTGCACCCCCCTTCTCTGGGGCCTTTCAAAGCAGCTACCTTCCTGCCTCAGGCACTTTCGGGAGGAAAGAAATGCATATTTAAAGGAGGCTGAATTTCATGTAAAAACAAGGCACAGGCCCAGCTGTGAGGGCCCAGCCAGAGAGGGAAAACATCCATTTAAATATTTGGTTTGCATCCAAAATCCACTCCGTCAGAGACCTGGCACTCACCACAGTCTGCTGACCTGCCTGAGAAATAATGCAGACGTTTCTGGAGTGCCTGAGAGGAAGCCTCGACTCCTCGGGACCCCAGAGCCAGAAGCACCCGTCCGGCCCAGGATCCGGTCAGCCAAGTTCAGCCGAAGCCAGAGCTACCCCAGCTGGTGCTTTCGCTGCTCTGTGGCCGGAGCTTCCTCGGTCACAGCCAAGTAGGGCCCTGAGGCTTCAGGGGGTGGGGCAGAGCTTCCCCATTGTTTTCTGATGCTCCCTTTGGATCCCCGAGCAGCAGATTTCTGAGTCTTCCTGCCCAAACCCAAGACCACCCGTGAAGAATCAGCCGCAGTGTGCAAAGCCATTCCATTTTCCAACTGCTGTTTTCATTCAGAGTTTTCTGGAATTCCAGCGGCTGCCGCCAGTAGGTTCGTGCCTTTTCTCCTCAGGCTTGAAGGGCACTGGGACCTCTGAGGTGAGGATATGGGGGAGAAGGGCCTGACTGTATCAGAGATCAGGGCAGCACCCCAAAGTGGAGCCTCTCAGACACTCAGCTGCCCCCCAGGGGCCAAGGTACCATTTGTGAAAAAGCAAAGCACGAGAAATGCAAATAATACAAACCTCCTCCCTCCTCCCGTGCCTGGCAATAACAGGTGCCCAGTAAATGGCAGCTGAATTGAATTTTTTGTTGGAAAGAACGGCTTCACTGACTGCAAACTCCTTCACCCTCCCTGCAGGGTTCAGGAAGGCCAGGTCACTCGCGCCTCCTAGACGGAGCGCTACCAAGTCCCTGCCACGTGCATTTTAAGAAACATTTTGCTAATCAAGAGTGCTGGAGACATTTTGTCCCCGATATTCAAATATGCGTGTCAAGGAGGAAAACAAACTCTGTAGAAGTCTTTTTAAAATATTTATTTATTTTCATTGTGGTAAAATACACAACATAAAACTTTCCATCTTAACCAATTTCAGGTGCACAGTTCAGTGGCATTAGGTACATTCACACTGCTGTGCACACGTCACCACCATCCACGTGCAGAACTTTTTTCTTCTGGCAAAACTGGAATTCTGTCCCCATTAAACCACACACGCCCTCTTCCCCCAGCCCCCCGCCACCACCCTTCTACTTTGTTCTCAATGAATCTAATGGCTCTGGCAATGTCATATACGTGGAAAGAACTTTTTTTTTAATTTAGAAAAGATCTTGAGGCTAGGGAGAGGATAATCTTTTCAGGCACAAAATCAAAATTTCTGTTAAATCACAGTGACGGAGTCCTGTGGTGCGCCTCCCAGGCGCCAGCCTTTCTCTTGGTCACATGAGAGGCGGGAGTGAGGGTGACCATGGTCTGTGTTTCTGGGGCCTCTGGGCCCTTGTCTCGGGGCCTGAGTCTCTCCGCTGGAGTGCTCTCACCCAGTCGGCCTGCTCCACACACGGTGACCCTGTGGCCCTGACCTTTCGCTCCCTCCTTCCCTCCCTCCCTCCCTCCGGCCCGCGTACTGCAAAAACAAAACAAAACAAAACAAATCCCATCCGTGTTTCCCTGTCACAGGATGGAACTCTAGCTCATTAACTTGGTGCCAAGGCCCTCCAAGACCCCACTGCAGGTCCCTTCGCCTCAGCTCCAAGCTCCACACTCCAGCCCCTCCTGGGACCCTGGGGGCTGCCCGCTCCCCCTGCACTGTCTCACAGTCCTGGGACTCTCTTGTCTGTCCCGACTGCTCTTCTGCTTTTCTGTCATATCCTTTTTTTTTTTTTTGCGGTACGCAGGCCTCTCACTGTTGTGGCCTCCCCCATTGTGGAGCACAGGCTCCGGACGCGCAGGCTCAGCGGCCATGGCTCACGGGCCCAGCCGCTCCGCGGCATGTGGGATCCTCCCGGACCGGGGCACGAACCCGTGTCCCCTGCATCGGCAGGCAGACTCTCAACCACTGCGCCACCAGGGAAGCCCCCAGACTGGGTCTTGATGCCTCCATCGCATCCTGGGCGCTCTGGTTACAGTCATGCAGCAGAGCCGTGTACTGAGCAGTTCCTCAGTGCTGGGCGCCTGGCTGACTGACTGGTCTCATTTCATCCTTACAACCCTGGGAGGCGGGTACTGTCTTTGCCCCCAGGTCACAGATGAGGAACTGGAGGGCTATTTGAAGCATTGTCCAGAGCGTTGGTATCATCACCTTGTATTCTAATCTGTTGCTGTAGCTTCCTGCCTTGAGAATAGGAGCCGTATCTAATTTATTTTCGGATCCCCAAGGCTTAGCATTGACCCTGATAAGAAGTAGTTGCTGCATAGAACAGAGCAGAATAGAACAGGACATCTCACCAGGTCAACTGGCCCAGCAAAAGCAGCTGTCTCAGCCTCCGGGCCTGCATTCTGCCCTTGTCCTGCCCAGGGCTGGCCTTAGGGGTAAACTCAGAACTGGGGTCCGTATGGGGTCAGTTCTGGCTCTACTAAAGGAACCCTCCCACGATACAAAGCCTCTTTCCTATCGTCTCTAGCAAGCTTTACAGCTGTCTCTTTAACTGGATGAACACCCTCATTCCATGAGTAAAAGTAAAGATTTATAAGAAAATATAACCATGTCCCCCCTTTCTCTGCTTGGTATTTCCCAATTTTACCCACTGTTTATTCCAGAATCCATAGTGCTCTGGGTTTGCTTTAAAGCCACGAAGAAAGCGTATATCTTTGAAAGGTGTGTGTATACACACTACCTGGAAACCAGTGTACTGAAAGCATTTTATTATTTTATATGGTGCCTGAAGAGCAGTGAGGCTAATTACGAGGGTTTGTTTTACATACAGTGCTTCTTAATCAGTAAGAAGCACTATAGGAGCAGGAGGTTTTTACATTAAACTTAAAAAAAGTGGAAGTGTAATGTACTACAGAAAAGCACAGATAGAGTACAGCCTGATGTCTTGTACGAAGTGAGCATATCTGGATCACCGGCCCCCAGGTCAGGAGATGGAGTATTACCACAGCCCCTCCCCCCAGGCACCCACCTCCGAGCGCTAAGGTAATCGCTCTACTGACTTCTAACACCATAGGTTCGTTTTTGCCTGGTTTGAATGTCCTGTAAATGGAATCCTGCAGTATATGCATTCCTCTGACTCTGGCTTCTTTTGCTCAACATTATGCTGGTGAGAGTCATCAGCTATGCACAGCTGTTGTTAATCCGTTTCCATTACTGTAAGAATCCCTTTCATAGATATATTATGATGTATGCATCCACCATTCTGTCGATGGACATTTGAGGCTATTGGAAAGAGCGCTGCTGTAGATGTCCTAGTACACATCATTGGTGGCAGTCCATACACACTCCTGTTGGGGCTGTGCCCAGGAGTGGGTTTCTGGGTAGGAGGGTGTGCCCGGCCTCACTGGATGCTGCCAAAGAGTTTTCCAAAGTGGTGGTGCTATTTTACATTCCCACCAGCAGTGGATGAGCGTTTCGGTTACTCCAGATTCTCCCCAGCACTTGGCATGAACGGTCTTTTTCATTTTAGCCATTCTGGTAGGTGTGCATTGATTTCTGGCTGTGGTTTAAATTTGTCTGATGACTTGTGAGGTTGGGCATTTTTTGTATGTTTCTTGGCCATTTGCATTTCTTTCTTTTTTGGTGAACTCCCTGCTCTTCTCTTTCTTTAATTAACTTG